TAATATTTATATTATAATATTTTTGCACAATGATATGATATCTGTATTACAATATTTAGGACTATGATATAATATTTATATTATAATATTTTTGCACAATGATATGATATCTGTATTACAATATTTAGGACTGCGATATAATTTTTATATTATAATATTTAGGACTATGATATGATATCTGTATTACAATATTTAGGACTATGATATGATATCTATATTATAATATTTAGGACTATGATATGATATCTATATTATAATATTTAGGACTATGATATGATTCGGTATTTTGTGAGGACACTTCTTCAGTTCCAGTTTTTAGAGAGTCTTTGTCAGGAGTCAGGTCATACTGGTCCCCTTCATAGGTAGTATTATCATTATTATCATTGTTATCATTATTAATATTATTATTATTATCATTACTATATTTATCTTTATGATACATAGCACTCCGCTCATATATATGGGCGCATATTGTATTTGTATGTATGTATTAATGTGCATGTTTTCTATAATCTGATCAAACGGCTAGACAAAATTGGCTGATTTTTTATGTAAGCCTTCTGTATCCCGGGGTTGACATAGACTGGAAATATTTTGGACATTTTTCAAATTCCACGTGGAACACCGGCCACTCCAATCATTGTTGATATTTTTATTATCACAATAGCTAGTTAAAGTATTATTGTTAGCATTATTGTGTTCATCAGTTTTTTAACAATAATTATTTGAGATGTGATTTCTCTGGTTCTGTTGCTGCTGGAGCAAAACTTACAGAAATGTTAAACCTTGGAGCTTCTGTACCCTGGCCCAAGGCATTGAAGGTAGATTTAGTCAGAAATATTCAGGGCGCTCATTGCCATTTTTTCCTAGCTTTGTAAATAATTAGATTAAAGTGACTGTAGATATAGTTATAATTAACCCACCATTCATAGTACCCTTTAGACTAATATCCTTGTTTTTCAATCTTAAAAAATGTTATTTTCAATAGTGTCTACTCTACACATATTACAACCTAAAGTCGATTATTTTTCGATGCATTCTCATAAAGTTAATATTTCATAATTTTTTTTATTTGTTTTAATATACAATGTACTTAAAGCGACTTTTTTCCGTTAGGTGTCTCTGCCACATGTAGTCATTTAAAGCATCGAGAGCAGAGACATCCGCCGAACTATTTCGGCGTTTTTAGGGCATTGTATACAAAACATTGTAAAACCTCAAGTTTTAATTCTAACTATGCTTCTCTGTATGATTAATAATTGATGATAAAGATATAATTGGCCTTGAATCTGGGAACTATCTAGCCTGTATACCCATCATCAATTATCGAGATTCAAGGTTAAACAACCCTGGGTAAAAGATCGTAGAAACATCTAAAACTTCTAGAACCAGCTAGAAGAAAAGATGCACGCAAAGAATACGTGAGTCAGAGAACTTTTTTCTCAAGAAAGTTCTAGAATAAATTATCAAGCAGCGCCAAAAAAACAAGCGCACCAGCTTCGAGAATGTTCTAGAACAATCTATCATGGTTTACTATAAAAAGCCAGGACAGACTCTGACTCGGGTTAGTTAGTTGGATTTGAATCCTAGATCTTTGCTCTCAGATCTGTATTTATCGTAAAATGACCCAGTGATTTTGAAGTGTATCTTTGAAGAAACAAATTGGAAAATCTAGGTAATAAATCATTTTATTTGTAACTATTTGTTTTGTCAATATCTGTAATTCGCATTTATCTATTCGCCCTAAACTGATTCATAGAGGTTGAAATCCAATAGTATTAAGTAAAGATAGATATATATATATATTTTGTAAAATCAGATTGTTTATACTTTTATTCAAATATTGTTATATATTAAGTTCTATATTCGTAATTATATTTTCGTTTTAACTAATCATTTATATGATTAATATTGTCAACATTTTTCCCGTGGACTGAAATACATAGCTAAACGAAAACCTCAGTGTTAATAATATATATATATGTAGTTAAGAAGGAATGGAATACTCTTAAAACAGAGAGGAACAATCTCTGAGTAGGATTAAAGTTAACATTTAAAAGTTCAAACCTTACGGATTAAACATTTGGATAGTATAGATGTGAGAACAAAAAGAGACATCTGGAAATTTAGTTCATAACAAAGAAACATTAAAACTTATTCAGAAATACTTTGTCCGCCATAAAATGCGTGGCAACATTTAATGCAGGGCTTATTGATTAAACTATTAAACAGAAATTCGAATATCTTAAGGCCTAAAAACTGTTAGAGGTTTAACCTTTGAATCCTGCATTGTTTGTTATTGGGCGAGCCAAAGCTACTGGAATCTTCTTTGTAAAAACTTTTATTCAAAAACTCATCAGAAACTATATGATTTATTGTCGTCCTTCATTTATTTATCTTAAACCTTGAAAATAGTCAAATTGCGATTCATATCAGCAATTTTATAAAAGGTTGCTTATCATAAGAATAGGTAACACTTTTACAACATTTAAAAATATTATGAAATATTAACGATATATGAATGTGTCGAAAAATGATAGATGTCTATAGGTTGTAATATCTAAATGATTTATTGTAAATTAAATTGATTTTTTTACAATATGAGTCGTTTATTGGAACTGTATGAATTTGTATGGACGCTACGTTCTTCAATACAAGTCGTAAACAATAAATACTTTTTGTGAAAAGAAATTGAGTCTTTGCCACAAACTCAGATTTTATAACCGTTTAAATCTTTGCAACCTGATGGTCAACATTTTTAATAGATTATTTGAAATAAAAAAATTCTAGTTTGAAATATCATAGGTTGTTGACATTGGCCATTGTATAGATAAAAAGATTAGAAAATCAGAGTTTGTGGTAAAGACTCTGTTCCTGTCTGGAAAAAGATTAATTAGTAAATATTCATTTTGGACAAAAACGGGGCCGATTGAAATATAGACTGCTGACTGACTAATAATATAATCAAAAATAAAAATAAAAACAATATTCAAATCATGAAACGTTCTAAAATTTCTCAAATAAACGTTGTCAAATGTAATGTGTTCCAAAATTACAGATTCGGAGAATATATTGCTAGTTCGAAACTTACTGATCTATTTAACAATCATAAACGCTTAAAAAACGTCAATTAGTTTCTTGTGGAAAATGTGTTCTTTAGTTTTCTTCGTATTAAATTCAAATTGTTGCGTGTTGAAACTGATTGTTTTTAACCCTATACGACAAAAAAAAACTAGGCTTTAACTTTTAATTTTGGCTCTTACTGTGAGCATCTTATCTTTGTACAGTATAAATAGAACAAACACAAAAAAAGTTTGCGGATTTTCATATATTTTTTCGGGCATTTTTTAAATTTTACTAAGATCAACTTTTTTAAATTCTGAGAATCAATAAACTTTACCTGGGGTCATGGGAGGTCCCATAAAAAATGTGGGCCCGCTCGGTTCAGCCGTTTTGACGTTTATCAGATATAAATAGACACACATACACCCACCCAGACAGACAAGCAAAGTATATATATAGATAGATGAAAGATAAAAGGTAAAGATCTAATCAAAAGTACAAAATTGTGGAATTAGGATACAAGATACAAGAGGAGAGCTTAAAAGAAATTGATACAAAGCAGGGAATACCAAACAGAATACGGAAAACAGTACACAGCGTACATGGTATATGGTATTATGAAAGGTTTAGGTATTTTTTTAATAGCTGCCCTTGAAAAGTTGGACTATGGACATGTTTTACACCCCCCAGATAAGGAGAAAATCCTAAGGGGGGAGGGGGATGACACATATTAGGAGTTTTGTCAATATGCAAATTGTATTCACACGTTTCCGAAACTTTAACAAGTTTGTTATTCAGAGAAATCGCAACAAAGTAGATAAGTGTCGGACTAGTCCCAGCCCCCCCACCCCTCAAACATCACCCCTAAAAATTGGGTTAAACAGCCAATAGCTATCATAAAATTAAATCATCAATGTTTTGGTCGTAAAAAACAGAACAACATCTGTTAGATCAAATTCAATCAGACATAAAAGTAAAATAAAATAAAAAATTAATTTTCAAAAAATAATAAAAGGATTTCGTTAATAAACTGTGAACCCAACCCAAGGGTTCACAACTTGTATATAGTACCGTAAAGTTCATTGCTCCCAAGCAGAGAAATAAAGCCTAACAATCTAACCCAAGAATAAAGCCAAACAATCCAATCCAAGAAAAAAGCCTAACAATCTAACCCAAGAATAAAGCCAAACAATCTAACCTAAGTCCAAGAGGATATTGAACCCTTAGTATGATTGCAGCTTGAGTATACAACTGGCTAGACCCACAAGGGTATTGAACCCTTTCTTATCTGATAGATATCAAGAGTGCCGTTAAAGGGCGGAGCTAGGAGAGGATCAATGCTGGAGAAAGGAGCTAAACGGCATTTCTGTTGTCGAGGCAGAAGGCAGTTTTATCGGCCATCTTATGCCCAAGGACTCGTCCGTATGCATAGTTTGAAATATCAAAGTTTATTTATTTTTGCATAAATTGTATTTCAAAAAGCTTTTAAAAAAAGAGGAGTAAAGATTAAAAATTTGTAAAAGTTTAATCATGACATCTACATATACACTTTTCTTGTCTGGGTGTTTGTCTGTATGTTTGTCAAAATGGCTGCACCGATCGGGCCCAAATTTTTTGTGAGACCTCGCTTGATCCCAGGGAAGGTATATGATCAAATTTTCAAAAAATTTGCCTCTAAAAATTCGATTTTTGAAAATTTTTAAAGGGAAGGTTTATGGATGCTCAAAATTACAAAAAGTTGTATCCAAAAGCTTTTGATATTTGTAAGATTTAAAAAATGTGCGAAAAAATATTATTTAATCCGCGATTTTTTGTTTCTGTTGTTAACAGTTGAAATAGAAGATGGGCGCAAAGTGCCCTGTGAAGACATAGTAAACATTAAAGGAATTGAGTCTTTGCCACAAACTCTGATTTTCTAATCATCACGTCTTTGCGACCCAATGTCGTGGACCTTAGATATTTCAAACTATGAATTCTGTAATATCAAATAATCTAAGTTTGAGCTTTCAAAGGTTTGCACCATCAGGTTTATAAGATATAGGAATTAGCAAATTTGAGTTTGTGGCAAAGACTTAATTCCTTTGCTTTAACTTTACTTTTAATAAGAATTAAAACCAATTTTAACAACATTTTTAGAAGGTTGTAATGAATATTTTTGTCTGCATTTAGTAACATAATGGAATTTATGGAATTGCCTATAGTAGTGCAAGCAATTTTTAAATACATAGATTAATTTGCAAATACAGGTTTTTATAGTTTCAATATGTTTTTCCGATTATGGGGTTATTTATATTTATATAGAGAAATGCATTGTACGTACAATAGGGGGCATCACATTTTAAAATTCTATCAATTAAGGCGATAGCCAATTCCTTTGTAAAATTAAATTCTAAGAATTATTTCTTTTCTGACACTTCTTGATTGGGGGTCGTCTTAGTTAGCTTACTAGCTTTGTAATGTCTGACCTATTATATATGTCTCTTTTCTGAGATCTGTTATTTCCAATCAAAAAGTGTCATAAAAGAAATTTGTCTTAGAATTTTTTTCACACTAGTAATGACTGTCGCCTAATAATTCGGGTTTTTATGAATTGAAATTAGGACGCGAGAAATCCAAGCCCCTCACATATGCAGACATTGAAATACTCAAGTTTTTTTTCGAAAAGACACTAGATGGCTTTCCTAACTGTTTTTTATCTTTACTACCTGATGATTTATATAAAGTCTTAATTTTTAAACTTTGACTTATATTTGTTAATAGTTTGAAATATCACAGGTGTATTGTAAGACTTTAGAAGCTGTAATCAACAATTCTTGTTCCCTTTTAAGGGATGAGGGGGAGGGTGGGGTGTGTGGTCTACACGACCCCTTAGAGTGAGGGAGGGGGGAAATGGTTACAGTATGTAAAGCGTATCAGGTTGAAGAGATAAATGTTGGCAAAATAAATTTTTAAAGATTATAAAACGGTTTAAAAGTCTTCAATTTCCTTACTCTTTGCCCCCCCTCTCTAGGTTTGCTCCCCCACCCTCTCTAGGTTTGCTCTAATGAACTATCAGTCAAGATATTTTCAGAAAAAGATAAGAAGACAAAGTAAACAAAAATTTTATATTTTAGAAATTGACCGGTACAGAGAAAATGTCTACAAAACCCATTTTGGAGGTAAATATGTTTAGGTTAAGTTGAAATAAGTTTGGTTTATGTAGAAATATGTTTAGGTTAAGTTGAAATATGTTTAGGTTAAGTTGAAATATGTTCAGGTTAAGTTGAAATATGTTTAGGTTAAGTAGAAATATGTTTTGTTTATGCTGAAATATCTTTTGTTTATGTAGAAATATGTTTGGTTTATGCTGAAATATGTTTGGTTTATGTAGAAATATGTTTTGTTTGTGTTGAAATATGTTTTGTTAATGCTGAAATATGTTTTGATTATGCTGAAATATTTTTTATTTATGTAGAAATATGTTTTGTTTGTGTAGAAATATGTTTGGTTTATGCTGAAATATGTTTTGTTTATGCTAAAATATGTTTTGTTTATGCTGAAATATGTTTGTTTATGCTGAAATATGTTTTATTTATGTAGAAATATGTTTTGTTTGTGTAGAAATATGTTTGGTTTATGCTGAAATATGTTTTGTTTATGCTGAAATATGTTTTGTTTATGCTGAAATATGTTTTGTTTATGCTGAAATATGTTTTGTTTATGTAGAAATATGTTTTGTTTGTGTTGAAATATGTTTTGTTTATGCTGAAATATGTTTGGTTTATGTTGAAATATGTTTAGGTTTAGTTGAAATAAGTTTGGTTTATGTAGAAATATGTTTGGTTTATGTTGAAATATGTTTTATTTATGTTGAAATAAGTTTCTTTTATGTTGAAATATGTTTTGTTTATACTGAAATATGTTTTGTTTATGCTGAAATATGTTTGGTTTATGTTGAAATATGTTTTGTTTATGTTGAAGTATGTGTGTTTTATGTTGGAATATGTCTGGTTTATGTTGAAATATGTTTGGTTTATGTTTAAATATCTTTAGTTTATGTTGAAATATGTCTCGTTTATGTTGAAATATGTTTGCTTTATGTTGAAATATGTTTTATTTATGTTGAAGTATGTGTGTTTTATGTTGAAATATGTTTTGTTTATGTTGAAATATGTTTGGTTTATGTTGAAATATGTTTGGTTTATGTTGAAATATGTTTTGTTTATGTTGAAATATGTTTTATTTATGTTTTATGGTTTATGTTGAAATATGTCTGGTTTATGTTGAAATATGTCTGGTTTATGTTTAAATATGTTTGGTGTATTTTGAAATATGTTTGGTTTATGTAGAAATATGTTTAGTTTATGTAGAAATATGTCTGGTTTATGTTGAAATATGTTTGGTTTATGTTGAAATATGTTTGGTTTCTGTTGAAATATGTTTGGTTTATGTTGAAATATGTTTGGTTTATGTTGAAATATGTTTGGTTTATGTTAAGATATGTTTGGTTTATGTTGAAATTTGTCAGTTGTGGCTAGTTCTGCATGCTACCCATGTGCTGATCACACCTACTGTCTGCACTTTGTATATGTGGGCGCTGTGAAAGGCTTTAAACATTTGAGGGAGAGAAGGCTAAGCGGCCATGAACCCCATGCTGGATATAGTTAACTTCATATCTTACTGATACAGTACCCATTGCCGGGGTACTAAGTCAAGAAATAGGAATCTACAAGAATAAAGAAGAAAAATAAAAAGAAGGAAATCTAAGAAAACGCCAATATGTTTAATGCTAATCCAGCTTTACACCCACTCTACTTAGCGATTGGAGTCCTTTCTGGAAGAGCTCTGTTCCACAATTTATTAAAATATATACACACTCCCCGTGTTTTAAAACGATGGGATAGCAAGTGGGTTATTTCTTCTTTAAAAAATATGTCCACGTGGGAATATGTGTTAACAGTGATGACTATGCATGGTTGTTAACCATAAATACAACTTCTACCCCCCCCCCCTCCCCCCACCGAAAGTCATCTTTGCCAAAACCCTCTCAGAGAAACCAAACCAACGCAAGTCTCTGTTCAAAATATCTTTACTCTCCGACAAAATTGAAATAACAAACATTGAAACGTTTTGTTAAGTGAAAGATAAAATCCACAAATAACTTTGCAATAAAAAAATAATTCTGCTTAAACAACCGGTTTATATGTTTTAGAAGTAATTACAAATGTTTTAAACCATCCCATCAAACCTTAATCACTCCTTTTTACACCGATACAAAAAAACTAGGAAGTTACATTATTAAACTTTGAACTACGTTAATACATTGTCATTTAATTTTATTAACATTGTCATTTAATCTATTATATCTGCATTCAATTGCAGGTTTGAAATACATCTATTTGAGATTATCGAGACTACAGTGTCGGAATTAAAGAGCCTAATCGACTCTACAGTCCATCAACCTATTTATCTACCGACTTATAGTCAAACAAGAATTGATGCCTCCCTAAAGTTTTACAATGGTATATCTCGTACCTATTATCCTTAAATCCCCATCCTCATCCTCTTACCTCCTAAAATCAAACTTTATCCTACTTCACGAGCAGATATTGTGGAACTCAGAAACTGCTTTACTGTGAATTCTTAATCAAAACTTTCTGAGAGAGATCATGGGTGTTTCTTTCCTAGGGGGTACATCTAAATCACCTTGAACCTACCTGAATGCAATTAGGGCTAGGAGGTCTTTTAATTTCTTTTTTAATTACTGCAGACACAGATACATGTAACTCAATGCAGCTGACAAAGGGAAGTTTTTATCACAACAATGTCAGCAATAAACCCTCCTGCATATTATGCAGCTAATTGAAAGCAGCAAAACAGGACAGCTAGAAAACATGGAGATTGAAAAATGATTACCTGCATTGTGCTTGCATCAATAAATGTGTTTTATAAAAAATCTTGAAAAAAAGTTTTTTAAAAAAATGTTGAATTATGCTTTGTCTATTTTAAAATATGTTGGGTTTATGCTGAAATATGTCTGTTTTATGTTGAAATATGTCTGGTTTATGTTGAAATATGTTGGGTTTATGCTGAAATATGTCTGGTTTATGTTGAAATATGTTGGGTTTATGTTGAAATATGTCTGGTTTATGTTGAAATATGTTTGGTTTATGTTGAAATATGTTTGGTTTATGTTGAAATATGTTTGGTTTATGTTGAAATATGTTCAATTTAAGTTATTTATATGTTTTGTTTATGTAGAAATAAGTTTGATTTAAGTTATTAATATGTTTGATTTAGGTTATTCATATGTTTGATTTAAGTTAACCTTAAGTTCGGTTAAAAGTAATTATTATTATTTCTAGTTTTTCCAGCCCCTTCAGGAATGGCTTAAGGTATTTTTTTTTACTTGAAAAAGATAATTATATTTTTCAAATTTTATTATTCTGGCTTCACAGAGCACCTCCCCCCCCCCCTTATATTTACCTAATGCTAATTTAATTAGGGGTCAGACTATTTGCCACTATTTTATATAAAAATGATCAGACCTTTATAGCACTAACATAAAAAAGTTAAAAAAATAAAAAATTTTATTTGAAATTTACTAGTGAAAATATAATTTTTTCACCAAAATAAATCAAGATTAAAAAAAATCAGCTTAAAAACAGAATTCCAAATTGTTAATATCTTAAAAATCTGTTAAAAATTTAACAAAATGACTTATTAAAAAATCTTTTACAAAAAAGGATTTTGGCCCAAGATCAAAAAATTACAAAAATTTTTTTTTAGATTTTTTGTTAAATTTACTTCAAGTACAACAATCTTCGTAAACTTAAGATTATTTGAAAAAAAGAATTTTTAAACTAATCTACTACAGTGTCTCACCATAAATGATATTATATTAATGTTGATAAGCTCAGATAACATATGTTATCATGGTTACTCACCAAGAATGACACTTTAATGACAACCTGAATCTTGTTAAATATAACGAACACAAAGTTAAATCTGGTTTTTCCCTTGAAAAAAAACTAGACACAAGTCGGAAAAAAGTTCTCAATAAGTTTCTTGCAATCATCTCTAAAGACTTATCCTTGGTTGGCAACCCTGTATCTATATCCATAGATGTCGTCTTTTCAAGATGAATGGGTTTTTCGTTCACAATAACCCTGAGGCAGAAGCCAAAAGGAGTTACGAGCATGCTTTTTTGAATTACAAGACAGACAGAGAGCCTGTTCCATGCTGCATGCGCGTAACACCTTTGGGCCTCTGCCTCAGGAGTATTGTGATCGAAAAACTCCTAATCTTTAAAAGACGACATTTAGTGTTCTATCTGTGTTGTTGTTAATCTATGACTATAACTAAAATTATTACATTATATTGCTCTGATTAATTTGTTTTTTTGTAGATGGGGGAAATTATATCTAGATCATAAAAACTAAATGCCATAAAAAATATCGCTTTAGTGTCTAAAATATTTAATACAATGGTGTCAGGGCAATTCAACTTATTATTTAAAAAGTTTATCTTATATTGAAATAAAAAATTGTTGAGAGGCTTAGACCTCTTGATATTATTTTTAAATACAACATTTTTAATAATTTTTTTCAGGAAGAAAATATGAAGAATGGAGACAGGGTTGGATGGAACTAAGTAGCTGTAAAGAAAATGTTTTCAGGGGTGTATATTTTCTAGAAAAAAATCCGTTCACCCTCCTTTCTTTGTTTGTTCTTATTTATCATAGAGAGGAAAAACATGATTTAGTTTCAAATTTTATTTCTTTTCATCAAAGAAAATATATGTCCCTGGACTTTGGATGTTAATTCATGAGAATATATACCCCTGGACTTTGGATGTTAATTCATGAGAATATATGTCCCTGGACTTTGGATGTTAATTCATGAGAATATATATCCCTGAACTTTGGATGTTAATTCATGAGAATATATACCCCTGGACTTTGTATGTTAATTCACAAAAATAAATTATTTTTCCCACAAAAACAAGGTTTTTGTGAGAGGAAGGTTTGAAAAGGTGGGTTTTTAACTTGTACTTTTTGGAAACTTTAGACATCATCGGAGTTTCATACTTTGATCTCCTATAAATAAAAACACAGGTCATAAATTTTGTATCTGTTTATGACGAGTTCAGTTGGTCTCCTTCGATCTTATTTCAGCATGATTCAATTCAGACCTTAGGCACAATCAAACCATTATATATCTATAGATTTTCTCTTGATGGGTTTACCATAAATCCCGTAGAATCATTGTTAAATTATTTAGTTTAAATGTTGAACATCAACTGTTGGCTAAGCGAAATCCGACCCAGAAGCCTTTGCCCCTGTTCTCACTGTAACTGTAAAATATATTGCATTTACCTGGTTTTAAAACTATATTTCAACTGGAAATGAATTTTCTGTGCTAAAATATGCTGCCAGATGTTTCTTTAAATAACCCTTGTAGTTTAAGTTTAATTAGTATAATTAGTATAATTTTTCTTCTTGTAGTTCAAAGTTCTTATGTTGACAATATAAACAAACAAGCAAAGTGTATATATACTAGGCTATCAGGAAGCTTCGCGCCCAACTTTTCTTCAACTATAATAGTTGCTTAATCTATGACCATTATCCTTCCTTCCTTAAAACAAAGTAAAAAAATGTGTGGATTTAAAATAATTAATAATCACAACGAAAACTGTTCTTTCACTGTTCATTCACAATAAATAAATCTGTTCCCTTGCAATAAGAAACTGTTCCCTCACCATGAAAGACTGTTCCTTTACAATAAAAACTGTTCCCTCATAAAGAAAACTGTTCTCACAATTAAAATATCACCTCACAATGCTTAATGAGAACCGTTCCTTAGAATAAAAAATGTTTCATCAAAGTAAAAAACTGTTCTTTCAAAATGAAAACTGTTCCTCACAATAAAAACGGGTCCCTAACAATGAGAAACTGTTCACTCACGATTACAAATGGTTCCTTAGAATGAAAATTATAAACTTTTTCCTCACAATTACAAACTGTTCCCTCGCAATGAAAAACTGTTCACTTACAATTAAAAACTGTTCCCTCGCAATGAAAAACTAATCTTTCATAATAAAAAAATGTTCCATTTCAAGAAAATATCCCCTCCCAACACTTCAAAATAAGAACTGTTCCCTCACAATTAAAAACTGTTCCCTCACAATTAGACACTTTTCCCTCTTAATTAAAAACTGTTCCCTCACAATTAGACACTTTTCCCTCTTAATTAAAAACTGTTCCCTCACGATGAAAAACTGTTCCCCCACAATTAAAAACTGTTCCCTCACAATTAAAAAATGTTTCCTCGAAATTAATAACTGTTCCCTCACAATTAAAAACTGTTCTTTCACAATTTGAAAATCTAAAAAAAAAACTGTCAACCTTTCAATCAAATGTCCCCTAACAATAAAAAACTGTTCACTAACATCGAAAAGCTGTCCCCTCACGATGAAAAACTATCCCCTCCACGATGAAAAACTATCCCTCCACAATGAAAAACTATCCCTCCAAGATGAAAAACTGTCCCCTCACAATAAAAATCTTTACCCTCGCCTAAAGAATGACTCATTTAAACAAAGTCTGTTCCTTCACAAAAAAAAACTCCTTATCTTCACAAAAAGTGTCTCATCGCCTTTGTAATAACGGAGATATGGATAAGTTGATAATTTCTGTTTTACTTAATATTAAATTTAAACTGAAGATAATTTATTTTAAAGATATAATTACAAGTATCAGGTACATTTTTGACTATTTTTTTAAGAATTTTTATGCAGTGGATCCCACTAAACATGATAATTATGTTTCCTTGTTATTTGCGACATTCATATGTAAACCTAAATCTGATGCTTTTGAACCGGCCGGGGGATATATACACAATTTTGAACCTGCCGGGGGAAATATACACAATTTTGAACTTACCGGGGGAAATATACACAATTTTGAACCTAATGGGGAAATATACACAATTTTGAACCTACCGGGCGAAATATACACAATTTTGAACCTACCGGGGGAAATATACACAATTTTGAACCTACCGGGGGAAAAATACACAATTTTGAACCTACCGGGGGAAGTATACACAATTTTTAACCTACCTGGGGATATATACACAATTTTGAACCTGCCGGGGGAAATATACACAATTTTGAACCTGCCGGGGGAAATATACACAATTTTGAACCTGCCGGGGGAAATATACACAATTTTGAACCTACCGGGGGAAATTTACACAATTTTAAATCTGCCGGGGGAATTATACACAATTTTGAACCTATCTGGGGAAATATTCACAATTTTGAACCTACCGGGGGAAGTATACACAATTTTGAACCTACCTGGGGAAATATACACAATTGTGAACGTACCGGGGGAAATATACACAATTTTGAACCTATCGGGGGAAATATACACAATTTTGAACCTACTGGGGGAAATATTCACAATTTTGTTCAAATATCGATTTGTTAACTAAAAAACAAAGGAATTGAGTTTTTGCTACAAACTCTTGTTTTCTAATTCCTATATCTGTGCAACCTAATGTCGTTGACCTTCGATATTTCAAACTGATCAAATAAGCCAAGTTTGAAAAATCAAAAGTTTAAAACATCTGATTGCAAAGATATAGAGATTTACAAGTTTGAGTTTGTGGCAAAAACTCAATTACTTTTAGACTGTTTTCCTGTTCTTTATTTCTTATTGCAGCTTCAATAGTTGTTACCGATTAAAATTTTCAAGTGAATTTATAATTACAGAAAATACAGATCTAATCAAAATGTTAGTTTGAAACACCTTCGTATTTACATCCTCCACGGGTAATTTATTAGTTTAGGCCTCAGCTCAGGGCGAAAATATACAGGGTGTCCCACAAGACATGAAGGTCGCCATTGATCGTTGAAATATTCTAAGGCATTTATTTGTAAACCTAATTTTTTAAGTACACTTCTTGAGTTAATCATCACAAAATGGCATTTCTGAATTTCGGTCTACCTTGTTTGTGCAATAATTATTTCTGGAGATATGAAGAATTTTATTTAGATTTCGAGATTTCCGGTAATGTTAACAATACACAAAAGGCAGACAACATTTTGAAAATCCCAGGACAAGTAAAATTTTGTGATTGTTGCTAGGACGGCTCCGAAGTCTGTATCATTGTCAGATTGGATTAGTTGTGTTTCTAATTCTACAAACATTTGGGAATAAGCTTTTTTTTAATGAACATTCCCTTTCAAGAACATTTTAGGAATATTTAAAGTAAACGGAATAGATAGAAGAGGAAGCAATAAACATAAGTTTTATTACATTTTTTTTGTTTTAGCTGCATGTTAAAGAGCATGTAGACGTATTTTAAAGTAATCCTTCATTTATAGAGTGGCATGTACGATTTTCTATGGTACCCTCTAAACCACTTTCAGATCGGAAAGTCTTAAATTCTCACAATCTTCATTGTCTTTGCAGCAGCATAATAAAAAAACAAAGATATCTCAGTCATCAGATCAGATCAAACTTTTCTATCGCACCAATGTGAATCGGAAATGCCACTTCTAAGCTGAAAATTTTTCCTTAATCCCGATCGGTTAATTAATCTGAGCTGAAAACTTTAGAATGTGATATCCTTAATCCCGATCTGTTAATTGATCAGAGCTGGGAACTTTTGAATGGTGGATATCGGGATTAATGCTTGATCTCCTCTTTTTCTTAATTTCCAGATTAAATAATGCTTGTTCTCCTCTTGTTATTAATCTCCAGATTAATTAACCGATCGAGATTAAGGATATCCCATTCTAAAGTTTTCAGCTCTGGAGATTAAGAAAAAGAGTGGATTAAGCATTAATCCTGATATCCACCATTCCAAAGTTTTCAGCTCTGGAGATTAATAACATGAGGAGAACAAGCATTATTTAATCTTGAAATTAAGAAAACATTCTAAAGTTTTCAGCTCAGATTATGTTCAAAATTACTGGAATAAACCCAAAAATTAATAAACGCATTGCACAAGTTCATGGCAACTTTTCTATGCTAAATGTACTTTTACTATGAAGAGAAATCTTTTCATTTCTGTTTTCAGGATTCAAACATTTTAAAAATAGCATTCTGTAAAAGTTTTCTTTATGAACAATGAAAATGGTTAAAATTGTTTGGAATAACAAAGTAACTGAGTTTTTGCCACAAACACAAGTTTTCTAATCCACATTTCTTTGGTGTAAACCTTTGATATTTCAAACCTAGACTATGTAATCTAACTAAATTCATAATGTCTACAACATCGGGTTGCAAAGAAATAGGGATTATAAAATTAGAGTTTGTGGCAAAAACTCATTTCCTTTGCAAAACCTTTTTAGAAGTCCGGAAACCTTTTTTTAAAGAAGCGAGCTATTGTCTGTGATTGAATTCACTACAAAGTATGAGAAAGTGCATGCACAACAATTTCAAAATCCTACCTTTTTTTGTGGTTTTTTCTTCTAAATTCATCTGATAAATTTCACATTTGAAAACTAATTTCACCGTATTTTCCAATGTCTGCACGTTCATCCTTCACAAGGGAAAAAAATAAAGCTAGAAAAATTAGGAACATAATTCATTAATATAACGATCAAATTTAAATTCAACTAGAATTCTTAACATAATCACATTAATTTTATTGCGTCTATAATTGAAGTTACCTAATTGAATTATAAATACTTTTCTACAAAAAAGTTGTTTTAACTTATAGGGTGTCCCAAAAACTTGGGTAAAAATTACGACATTAAAACCCTTTGGTTTTGAATTATTAACAGATGTCAAAACTCGATTGTACGTCTTATCCGGTCTCCAAAACGGGGTTTGGTTTTTTTGTTTGTTACTTAATGCTTATGGATTATCCTTCCTCCTACAAACCTCCCTATCACTCTTAGGGTTTCCAGCTGAAACTAAACATTGTTTCGCGAAAATTTCGCAAA